GGTTCCATGGAGGTGGAATACACACCGAAGTAGAACCAGGCTTTCTACTGCGGTAGACAGCAGAAACACACTTTGTTACCTTTTGTCAGAGAGCCTTAAAATTTAACTTGCAGGAAATGCAGCATGGGCAATGGCCACCTCCAAACCCGATATTCTCCTGATTCTTCTTCAGAAACTGATGGAAGAAGGAAATACGCTCTATAAAGTAGGTGGATTTTTCTTTTTTTCTGGCAGCAGAACATTGGACTTCTGCCTGAAGGTAGACTGAATGCCTTTATGCCTCCTTTTCAGTTATATAATTTGATATATTACTAGTCTGTTTAAAACAGAGTAGTAATACATCAGATTATATTATTTTTTTCTGGTACACTAGTAGTACATATTAGTGCAAGTATTATCCTTGTCAAATACCATTAAACATTTGAGTTCAGAAAGGGACACAAACTCTGATTAACATGCAGGCTCTCACTGTGCTTTTTCTGCCAGTGTAGTTCATACTGTGTATATTTATTAAAAAATCTGTCTCTGTGTTTTCTGCTTGAAGGGCGTCTCTTGGTAGATGTCAAATATAAATATGCTTTTTGGCAACCGTATTGCAATATTAAAAGTTTGTGAAAAACCTCTTGTTCCCTAAAATTTGCAGAAAGGCAAGATGAGGGAAGCAGCACAGCGTTATCAGTATGCATTGAGGAAGTTCCCAAGGGAAGGGTTCGGTGAGGAAATGAAAGCCTTCACTGAGCTGAGAGTTTCATTATACCTGAATTTGTCACGATGTCGCCGCAAAACAAATGTAAGCTCTTGCTGTTCCTCTGCTGCCTCTCTGGCACTGCGAAACTTATATCCTGCTGCATTGCTGGGGTTGTATGTGGACATCCATCTGTGGTATTTTAGAATCCTTTTCACTATATCCTGATCTTGGGCTTTATCATGTCAACAAATGGGTGGCTTATAAGATGAGGGCGTGTTGCCGTGGGGGATCTGTTACAGCTGGTCTTACATCATGTAGTTATTGTGGAATGACAAACTGCTGGATCTTTGCAGTACTTTTAAAAGACTGAATGGAAAACACTGCTACCTTTGTTATCAACCAGCACAACCAGATGCTGTGGCTGTGCCCGTGTGTGCTCTGAGCAAATACCTGCTCTTGTGGGCTGGGGCAGGAGCCTCTGCCACGCGTGCTGGCTGCGCTCCTGGAGCCGGCGCGCGACCCGCAGCTGGCAGCTTGCTTTGACTGGTGCTGTGTAATGAGTGCGTTTGATTCCTTTATTAGGATTTTGGAATGGCTGAAGAGTTTGCTACCAAAGCCTTGGATCTGAAGCCTAAGTGTTATGAAGCCTATTATGCCAGAGCGAGAGCCAAGAGGAACAGCAGGTACTGTTTGATTCTGTGATGTCTGCAGAGATTTTTTTTTTAACTTGCCATTTTTAATAACTTGTTCTTTTCTGCTAGTTACATTTCAAGTTTGCAAAGAAAATACTATTTTTTAGTGCACTTTGCATCTGTACTAGGTCTCTCTTATCAGATAAAACCAACCACATCCAAATAGTGATATTGAATGCTCTGTAAGTACTTACGAGGCAGTCCAGAAAGTAACAAATTCATTTGAAAAGGGATTATTTTAAATGTAAGTGACTGGGTCTGCTGCTCCACATGACTCAGCAGAATGTGACCAGCAGTGTGCCACCCAACTTCAGTGCTTCATTATTAATTGCCAAGCTTACGATTTATTACTGGCTGCTTTGATAGGAAAGAATATGATGAATCATTAGCAGTTGAAGACAAAAATAAGGGGAGAGAGGAGGAACTATCTGTTTAGGTTGAAAGAATAACAAACTGTAGTGGTGTAGCTGAAATACGGGAAGAGGTACCTTTTTGATTCACCATGTCTTTTCTAAACATATCAATAAATCATCATGAAGCAGAATTCAGCAGGTTACCTACTCTGGAGGTAACTCTGGAAGAGCTTGTGAGACAAAGTGTCAGTTCCTGGTGTTCCCAGCAGAGAGTTCTCCTGCCAGCCTGCATGGAGTGTCAGGGTACTTCAGGGAAGCGTTCAGGGTTGGGTCTGCACTTCCCTTCTAGTTAAGAATTTCCTAAGGTGGAGAATTTCCAGTTCTAATTTGTCACCACCTGCAGCAGGAAGCAACAAATCAGGACATTTTGCTGAAAGGGTGGAGGTGGATTAGTAGTAGGCAATGCTGGGACACAGATTTTCCCCAATTTTCATTGTTTACTTATTTCTTCCTAAACAGAAAACTACTTGCTGCTCTCTCTGACCTACGGGAAGCCGCTCAGATATGCCCCAGCAATCAGGAGATAAAACGTCTCTTGGCTCGGGTGGAAGAGGAGTGCAAACAGTTCCAGAGAACACAGCAACAGAAGCATCAGTCTCCACAGCTACTTGAACAAACCAACAATTCTGATAATGAGGAGGAAGGAATTGTACCAGGTGTGAATGATAATTTTAATCTTCAAGACAGGGAAGATGAGCTGCCACACCCCAATGAATCTGTTTCTCCTTCACAAAGGCTGCAGTGTTCCTCAGCTGCTTCGTTATTTAGCAGGACCCTTCAAGAAGGTGTTCAGAAAGCTCAGTGTGTGTCCCCTCAAAGCAGAGCAAACAACAAGTACCTGAGAGAGCCAGGCTTGGTCATGCAGCCAACAAAGCAGGCACAGATTGTAAAAACTAACCAGCATCTGAGCTCCATCCAGCCTGGATCTAAACCTGGAAGCAGTCAATGTAGCACCAAGCCACAATCATCTTTGCAGCATCTCCCCCACAGTCCCTTGCCCATCCGGCACTGTAGAAGTCAACAGGTGGATGGGACAAGCACATTGTCATCTGGAAGCATTTCCACAGATCTCACTGCTGAACTGCTGCACAATGAGAAGTTGGTGTCCAGCCAGCGTTCACATCCACAACATCATGAGACTCTGTCTTCTCGTTCTTTTCCTAGTAAATCTAAACCTGGTGACACATCAACAGCCTCTGTTCCAATGAATTTCAGTGACTCAAGGCAGCAAAGCCCTGTACCCAGTGGTGGCTCTTGTGGCTCTCCATCCAGTAGTGTGATTCTTGCCAGCTCATCAGGCAGCTTCACTTCAGCCAGCAGTTTGTCAGGCAGTGTTAAGGGGTTGGGCCCAGATGTTCGACTCAAGGATACCAACATCAGTCAAGCTCAGGGCACTGAGCACCGACCTCGCAATACCCCGTTTATGGGAATCATGGACAAGACTGCAAGGTTTCAGCAGCAAAACACACAATCTAGTCGCACTTGGCACTCTCAGGCAGCAGATGGTTTATCCACAAACATTGTTTCTGCAGGCATTCAGCCCTCCAACTTGGAGCAGTTCTCAGTTAAACACTACTCAACTAAGGGATCCTCTACAGGTGCTGCCCTGGGAGATGGCAGCCAGAGCAGCATGCAAGCAAAAGAACAGGAGGAGCTCACGTGCCACATCCCTGCCCACTGCACAGACAGCAGATCACCCAACCAAGGTTCTCATTCATACCCTGATGCTGTAGCCAGACTGCCATCGCACAGCACTCAGGACGGCCACCTCAGTCACGTCACCACAGCAAAACCAAAGCGATCGTTCATTGAATCAAATGTATAAATACTGTTCTGTACATTGACAGGGCTCACAACATCACAGGGTCTGACTGCTCTACAAAACACTGACTGCCTCGGCATGGCTGGGTCCCTGGGAGCAGTCTTTAATGGGATACAACCACTTCCAGCTGTTCCTACCATCACAGGGCAGTGACAGTAACTGGAATAAGAAATTAGTGTAGAAAGACTCAATTAGGTTGGCCTAGCAGCTTGAGCAGAGAAATCCTTTCCATTACATGTTACCATTAAATAAGCCTTTCCTTTCACATACAGCTTCAATCTTGGCTTTTGGTTCTCTTGTATCTCACACATAGTACTCGTGCCTCTCAAATGCTGATGTCTCACAGCAGCACTTAGGGAGATACTCTGCTGCACAATACTCAGATCTGTACATGCATGCATTTTTTAAAAAGCAAATTATTTTATCACTTTTCTAGTGGGATCTAATTTGGGTTGCATGATGTACATTTAGGAAGCATAAATAATTTGTGTATGAGTAAACTATAAGCAGCCATGCTTTGACATGTAAATATAACTATTTTTAGTAAATAGAGGAAATTAAATAAAATGAGTGACATTTGCATGTGTATTGAGAGGCTTTGACCATATTGGTTATTGCACTGAAGAACACAATATTATGGCCTATTAACAGTAATCGCACTTTATATAGGGTATCTAATCACCTTTGGGTGCTATCTTAAAGCAAAATGATTTATTGTTTATTTGTGAAAAGGTACAACAACTAAATGCTTAGTAAACGTTTATATGGGAAACCCAAGAAAGGGATGGCGGGAACATGAAAGTTTGAAGAACAGCATATGTGCAGTTGCATGACAGGATGAAGTTAAGACGTTGGTTTTTTAAGGAAATGAGGATTTTTATTGGCAAGAACGTGCTGAAAACGAGCTGCTGCAGTGACATTCCTATGAGTGCAATTCAGTTGGAGTGCTCAGCTTTATATGCTTCCCATCATGCTTGATTACAGTGTTCTGTGTACATTGTCAACAGCTGTACCCGGCTCTACACCTCCTTTTGCAGTTTGTCTCATTATACTTCAGCTTATTTATTGTTTACTGTTTCTTTGATATTTTGTACAAGTCCTATATTAGTCTTGTCCTGTAGTTCTATTTTTGCACAGCTACTGTATTCTTTCCATACAAAATAAAGATCGTTAATATACCTGTGGGATGAGATGCAGTCCCAGATGGTTACAGGAGAAACTCTCTCCCAGCTTTTCCAACTACTTGTCCAGTAATGGGGAACAGAGAAAGACAGGCACATTTTGATTTGTTAGAGTAGAAAAAGAAATACAGATCCTATACTTTGCTATTTCTTACCTTCTGAAAGACTGACTTGGCAAGATAAAGACTCAAAACTCATAAATGCAGTAAAAATTTTAAGAAAATTTTATTTGAAAAACTTTGAGTACTTGACTCTTAAACAGAAATACCACAAAGTAAAACTACTAGGAAATTAAAGTTGTTCTGGGAGTTTCCACCAGTGAAGGCTGAACCAGCCACAGATAGAAGAGAAGCACAAGTTTTTCTTTCCATGTGTTTCTGATACAATTAATTCCTCCAGCTGCATAAAATTTCAATTAATTTTAACAAACAACTTCAAAATTAAGTGGTTTAACTATTTCTGCTGAGTCTCTAGCCAGCGATTAATGGCCATTTTTAGTGTTCTGTTTGGTGTGAGCATAAGAGAGTGGAGAGGAAGATTCGTCATGGGACTAGATCGTCTACTGCTGATCCAGTTTTCCATTGCTTCCCTTTCATAGGAATAGCCATCTGCAAAGACACCATCAACAAAAGCTCATATTACAGAGGCTTGGGCACTGTGGCACTGTGCAGATGTTAGCTGTTTAAATGTGAAAGGGAAGTAAGGAAATACATCCAAACAGGAAAATTGAGATCTAGAATAAGTACACTGTATGTGAAATCTTTACTGTGGATATAAACAGTTCTGGCTAGTTTCATGTATCTATCCTGCCTGCAAAGCACCAAATTATATTATGCACAAGTTAAATAAGACTTTCTTTTCAGTTTGAATGATCCATAATGTGAAGTGAAAGCTCATTACTATCAATTGTTTAACACAGCTAAAGCCTGCTGCTTTACTGGACAGGGGGCTTGTCCACCTGGCTGACCCAGCCCTGTACAGTCTTCACCACCTGCCCAGGTTCAGGACTTCGGCTCTTAGAGTTGGTAGCTGAACCAGCTGATCCTTAAAGAACAGAAATTAGGCTCCAGTTTAGTGTCAGTCACCCATGAGTATCTGTGGTGGAATACAAACCCGGGCCCTATGCCCCTCCTCTTGTCTCCTTACTCCTTATTGAATAAAGCAACTCGCACTCCAGCAGTTGGCAAATGTCTTCATATTCTGGCCATTTTAATTCTCAGAAGTCTGCCCTAATACCTCAGAACTGGGTGCAGTTAGTTACTGTTTACAGAGCAACAAAAAAATTATACTGATCTTCTTCTGATGTTTATATGCACCTCCTTCCTTCTCCCCCCAATAACAGAACTGCAGAAAAATAGTTCTTCATAAAATGTTTTTAACTATGTAACATCTTACGCTGCTGGCATATCACAGTTCCAATGGCTGCTGCATTTAAAGGAGTCTCATTCTGTGCAAACTTTTAAGTGCTCTCTAGATGGTGTGCTAAGCATAGAAATGAGCCTGGGGTTTTTTGGGCTTTTTTTGTAGGGGGCTGGTTTGATTTGTTTGTTTACTTTTTGCCCCACTGAATGCACAATTCTATTTTGCACTTACTGAACCAACACTGTAATTAGGATTGTAATTATATTTACAAAGGCACATAAAGGGAGGCACATTAAGAAAAGGAAGAAGTTGCTTGTTAGAGTATTTTTCTCCATATCAGAGCTGTGATTCAGCAAACTAAATGTTTATCACAATTCTGGTTTGTTGCAATAGCTATTTAGAATAGTTTATCTTTCTAGGTGTGATGTTCAAATAGGTGTAGGAACACAAAAATGGGCCTATCTTTACCCTCAAGTAATTGGTTTTAATCCATGTCATGTAAAGGCATACCTGTGGCAATGACAGGATCGTTCATAAGCTCTCTTGTTATAGGACATAGGAACTCATCAGGAACAGAAACCGAGATTGTTGTCATCTTCAGTTCTTCAATTTTCTGGAGAACTTTACTGCGCAGGCCTAGAGACTCTGAAAAATTATTTGTACATGAAGTGGACAGCACAGACAGGTAAGGCAAAGAGGTCAGGTCTTGGAATAGTCAGTACACCTGTGTTACAGGAGACAGCTCCATCTCCATCTAAACCAAAAGCCTGCAGCCAGCCCTGGCTCCCATTCCAGTCAGCCCTGCCACAGGTTCTCTCTGCTGCTGGGCAACAGTAACTTCAGGTAATAATGAAAACAATCAGTAAATCAGTGCAAGTGCAGCAGAGCCGTGGCAGAGCAGTGGCCTGGTGGCCTGCAGTTGACTTCGTGCGAGTGCAGCGCTGCCCTGCAGCCACACCCTGCCACGGGACACTGCAGGGCTGGCCCTCGGCACGGGACAAAGCAGTGCCAGTGCAAAGGTACAGCTGTGCACAGGTGCTGCCAGCATCTCCAACAGACTGCATTTCCTTTCACCTCCACGCTGGCATTCAACACCCCTGGTCATACCCACCTGTGATCCACCACACCTGCTGTACAGCACTGCTGTCTGGGGCTTACAAAGGCACTACTGAAAGGTGCCTGAGCCTCTGGTTTTTAAAAGAACACTGATGTCCTCCAAACTGCAAACACTGTGAAAAACTTCTAGAGGTCTTTAGCAAGTTCTTACAGTCTCAGAGGAAAGATAACCGGTTATCAAGGAGAGAAAGGACATGCTCATTCAAGCCTTTGTGTGGTGGTAGACACCTAAAATTTAGTTAAACAGGAATTGAGTAACATAGAAAATGTTCATTTTAGGCAAATAGTATTTTCCTACTTTGTAAATGCTTGAGCTAAGGCAGATAGCAATTTTTAAAGTCAGATATATATACCTTTGTTGATTTCTTTCCCCACAGAGAACTCTCTTTGTAGCAAGTCATACTACATTCAATTCTCGCAGCATTATCTCATTAGCCTCAGCTGGCAATCGCTGCAACAAAGTTTTAGGCTACAGCAATGCTAAGGAAAATGTTTGCATAAACTGAGGAAACCAAGTGTCATTCATGGATGACAATTCCTGACAGATTCCCAGCATTTCTGTTATTTCTAGATTTCAACAAAGCCAGCTGTTACATAGAGATAATATGATCCAATATAGACCAATTCCACACACACACACAAAGGAAGGGAGCAGTCTTCCTACAATGAACAATATCCAACTGCACTTTTTAAAAGGTTTCTTACCTTTCAGCCTTTTGTTATACTTGACTTCAGTTTAACAAATGTATTAGCACCTAATTTACATCTAAATCTGGCCATCAAAATTGATAGAGAACTTGTATTTCGAAAGTTCCAGTGCAGTTTACAATCTTTAAACTTCTTATTTCATAATGACCACTGTGAAATCATTAGTAATATGGTGCTTCCTTTTGATTCCTTCTAAAATGTAATCACAGTTTTGCAATAAAACAATAGGACAGTGTAGGAACCTGATGTATTAAAAATTGTCTGAGCCAGGCAAACTTTGCTTGGTCCTTACCAAAAGTCATCAGCAAATGCACACATAGGAATTTCACTGTTCAATTCCAGGTTGGTGAACACCCGCAATTCTAAACATGGCACTTCTGCAGACTGATAGGAAAAACTATAGACCACCCTATTTACCAAAGTGAGAAACATGAATTACAGAGAAAAGCTGAAATTCCTTTTCCACAGCTTAATAATACAAGATCGAACAATGAAAACAGAAACAAAATCAGGTAAGACCATCTAACAGCATCATTAGTAGAAGTGAAGTAGAAGTATGTCTCCAGGTATGAGCAAACACACACACACACACAAAAGGAATACTGTGGACAGTGTAACATAAGGGGTTTTTTACCAGCCCTGGAAATGAAATAAAAAAGCCATTTCAGGGGGAAAAAATCTATGTATGGAACTCCTAGCTTGCCTTCATTCCAACATTTCAAAGTACTCTAGAGATTAAAAACTATTTGGATTTCAATACTCTTACCAATTTTTAATTCCTTAGCAAGACTTTCCTTAGTAAGATTCAGTAGTTCCTTGCCATCAATATTATTAATTTTGAAAAGTTCAACGAAGTTTGCTAAATCCTGTGCACAGAGCCAGGCTGAAACATCATCCTCTGACCAGTCCTCAACAGCCACCTTTGATTCATTTTCTACAGTACGTCCTTTGAAAATGAAAAAAAGTTTAAAAACAATACAAACAAAAAACTAAATTAAAACCAAACAACATCATCTCCCCCTCCCCCAATCAAAAAAACCTCACCACAACCCCCCAAAAGCAAACAACAATGAAATTCTCAGTTCAAAGAAACAAGGTCATTAATAGATCCTGTTTTTAAGTGTTCTCAGTACTATACATTCTTCAACTAAGAAAATAAATGCTTCTTAGACATTCCTTTGTGAGGGATGGCAGTAATTTGGGTTTACCTTTTACCTATCAATTTTCAAAGTTTAGAGGAATTTAATCTCTTAGATGCCTACACTTGAACAAACAATCAGAAAAGTGCTAGCAGACACTGGAATCATCTTGCACATCCTTAAAAGGCACACCAAAATCCCAACTTACTGCTGTGCTTTGAACAATATGTACCTTTGTTCCACAAACTTTAGATGCTGGTGTAATTTGTACATTAGTTATCCTACATTAATGGCACTAATGTCATTTGCACAATTAGTTTTTCACCTATAACGACCGGTAAGGTGCATTTCTAATTGACAACTACAATTGCAATTAGCATATTTTCAACTCGTCACAAATTATGGGTGTCCAAGAAGTCTTTCAACACTCTGGCAATAACATTCATCTCTTAAATGCTGTCCAAAGAATAAGCAATTGCAAATATCAGAAAAACAGATATAGCAAATTAATAAAATTAAGATATGTCCAGTATATTTTTCTTTACAAAATAACAAAAAGATAATACCTCTTCTGGGCATTAATCAGGTTAATTAGAAGATAAAAAGCATGAACACAATCCTGATGTTGCACATTAAGTGCAGGTAAGAATGAGGGATTTTTGCATCTTCAGAAGGTGTTTTGAGTTTAAAAAAACAGATTTCAAATACTTCACACACTGACCTGCACAGGGTTGCTTAAGGTCAAGCTGCCATATGTGCACAGTTTTATCCATTGAGCCTGTGGCAAGTAAGGGACTATGTGGTGCAAAAGCACAAGTTGTAACATATCTACAAATAAAAAAAAAGATGTCTGAAAATTCATTAGAAAAGGATTTATTTTATTTATGAAACAGAATAATCATGCTGATTTCTTACCTTGTATGCCGAGACAAAGTATGAAGGGTAGTGCCAGTACTCTGTAAAAGAGTTTTTGTGATTTTAAATCTTAAAGAATAAAAAAGTGTTTCTGTATTTGTTTGCTTCCTTTCAAAACAGGGAATATTGCTTCTTGAAAAGTGACAGAAGGTACCTTCAGAGAAGTTACACAACCTTGACAAAGCTGATCAGCAGCAGAGTCAGAAATGCAACTTGAATTTCCTGCTTTAAGTCTCTATTTGATTCCCTGGAGCACTGTTCCCCTGCACAATCAGCCAGCATGGAACAAGCAGGGAGAAGAGTGCTGGAAACACTGACTGAATTAAATCTACATTGGTTGGTTGGTTGTGCAGATAAAGACATTTCTTCTACCAATCTTGTATTAGAAATTATCAAAAGGGTCATTGTGGAGGTCAACCCACAAGCCTTCAATTGGACCAATAATTAACCACACCTGTTTGGCCTATTCTCTATTTGGCCACTAAATACTAACTCAAAAATGAAATTCCTGAATTTTGGCAGTTTTAACTTATTATGGAAAGATTTTCCCTCCTACAAAAAATAGCATTTCTTTGACATATAGGTATAGACAGATTGGAAAGATGATGAGCAAAATTATTCTGAATCACTAATTGATCAGTCAGCACGCCAATATTTTGAGCTGTCCAACATGATCAAAGTTCCCTAATATAGGCTGAAATCTCTCTCCCTCCCATAAAGGTTTATTGTCCCTACTTTTCCCCACAGAATCACAGGATGGTTGGGGACCTCTGAGATCATATAGTCCAACCCCTCTGCTAAAGCAGCATCATCTAGAGCAGGTGTCCAGGCAGGTTTTGGCTATCTCCAAAGGAGAATTTCAGAACTAGAAAAGTTATTGTCCCATTTGATAAAAACCTAAGGCCACAAAAGCTGATGAACAGTATTAAGAAATATTTAGGCTGTGGTTTCCTTCATCTTCCAATTTTCTGAAGCTCCTGAACTCTAGAGGACATTTTACATATCTGCCTAAACTTCAAACTACTAAAATAACTGGGCCAAAAACTCTGCAGGTATTGTATTAGTGATTTTGGTGAGAAACTTTAATGCTTATTTAAAAATTGAATTAATACAAGTATGTGCAGAGTAAGCTGAAGAAGTTTAAAATTTGTTCATCCCTCATTTTCAGCAAAATTATTGTTTTTAATACTATAAATACTAAAGGTATATATACCACTTACAGGTGAATCATAAAGGAGATAACAATGTTATTACAGAAAATGCTTAAACAATAGGTTTTTAAGACATTGTACTTAATGTAAACATTTTCTTGAATTCTTTATTATGCTTCTATTTTATGTGCACTTTACATATAACTAACTGCAGAATGTCTATGTTCACCATTCCTGATTTTATGTCAATAGGTACAGTCTTCCTTGCTTTGGAAGCTAAGCTAAAGTTAGGATAAGAAAAAAATCCTTTCACTTCAATCTGATTCTTGTAATACTTGTAAATATGGAATTAATTGTGTAACACCCTACTGCAGAGAAATCAACTTACAAATCCTCACAATGTAAATAAAAAGTGAGAAAGACTGATCAATTTTCAGGAGATATTTTTCCTTAGACTCCTTCTCCTCCTGCCCCCAAATGCACACTAAGTATTTTGGCTTAGTATCATTTGCATTCTTTAGTATTTTTTCATTGAAATGACACTGCAGAAGTAGTGCTTATATTTAAAGACAACACCCCAACAAATGATCCTGTATTATGCTGTACTTACAGTTTCATAGATTATGACGCACTTGTCCACAGACCTGAAAAAAATACATTGACATTAAAGCGATGCAGAGAAGGAAAAGGTACGTGTTTCATTAACCTTTTCCACAACCCAAGATTTCAAACTCCATCACCTACAGACTGATTGTAAAGATACTTCAACACCTCTAGAGGTCACAGAACTGTTCCTTAATTATTGGTAATAAATATTTAGAAATCTTTAACTCTTTTGACATTTCTGTTTTACAATACTGAAGCGTGAACCTGGACAGCTTGATATTTCAACAAGGCGCTGCTTACCCAGAGACTATCATCTGTCCATCACATGAAAATGCACAAGCCAGAACTGGGGCAGAGTGCCCATTCAGTGTGCATTTATATTTTAACTGAACACCTAAAAATACAAAAAGTATATTATTACATACGGCTATATTTGACAAGGTATAACACAAGGTGCTTTAAGAAGCCCAAAGCTCCACCAAAGATGAGACTCTGTGACATACTGTTTACAAAAAAGGGGATAAAACGATCAGAGACAACTTCCCCTTTAATATCTCCAACTTTATCACTTTGTAGTCTTAGCATGTCTCACAAGGTTTTAGATAATTAAATGTGTATTTGGATACCCAGTATTAATCCTTACACACTTTTATATAAAGCAGATTACAAAAAAAGTAACCACTGAAGATATTTTTGGCAATTTACTTAGTCTCCACATTATAGTTTTTGCAGGAGCCTACATTCTTTTCTCCAGCTCTTATTCAAGGCCCAGGATATACTGAAACACGAAAAAAAACCTCTCCCTAGCCAGGCAGATTAAGAGGTTTCAACCTATCAAGCTGTGGAAAGGCCGCAGTAGAATTTTTTAAAAAATCTTTACTTTCAATACTTGTTGATAAATAGATTGCTAAATAAAATCTACATGGCATAGCATCACAAAGTGCTGAACGCCTTAGCTGCTCTCCAGCTAATAATTAAAAGAAATCTTTCAATTTGTGGTTAGTTTGGCTGTGAATCCAGTAGTATAAGTTTGATTTTTGATTTAAATTGTTACTAAAGACCTAAGACATTGGTATATTCAAAAAGCATTTCTATACAAACCTAAGAAATCTGCAAACAAAATAAGCCAGAGTTTGATATGATTATCTTGTCCACAGGAAGCCATCTGGAAGTATTTGAATCCATTTTCACTATCTGATAAAATTAAAATATATAAATGGGAGTCAGAAACATTGAAAATAACAGCAGATCAGTAAACTACATCAGCATAAAAATCGTTGTAGAAGTTCTAAAACAGTTTGGACGTAAGAAATAGGTATCATTATACTCTTTTCTGAATAAGTATATTAAGATCAGAGCTGTGCTCATGTTTTAAGCTTTCTTGGTGGGAAATGTTTGAATCCTCTGATTATACTGCTAGAGTCTTTAAATCTAAATTATATGGTTATATGCAGTTCCGCAATTCTCAAAATTAACCACATACACCTGTACAAATTTGAGAGTATCTGACAGGGAATTTTCATACTTTTACACATTCAACTTTTCACTTTTATAAACTGACATTTCATGACTGCAATCCAGCCAAACACTCAGTAAATACTGCATTAAGTGTGAAATACCACAATAACAGTTTTACAGCTTTCTCTTCTTGATTCAGTGGCTACAAACATTTCTGAATTATCATGTTCCACAAGTGGACTGTTTGATGCATAAGAAAGTGTTTGGATGGTTGCAACCTGAGAGTAGTGGTCAATGGCTCAGAGTCCCAATGGACTAGTAGTGTCCCTCAGGGTTCTGTATTTGGAACAGTGCTATTTAATATCTTCATTAAGATATTAAATAGGCAGCAGGAAGGAAGCAAGTGCACCCTCAGAAAATTTGCAGATGACATCAAGCTGAGTGGTGCAGGTGACACAAGAAGGACAAGGATCTGGGAGGACCCCAAAGGGACCTGGACAAGCTTGAGTGCTGGCCCATGGGAATCTCAGGTGCTGGTGTGCCAACCGGATTGGGGCAACCGCCAGCAACAATCCAGGCTGGGGGGTGAACAGGTGGAGAGCAGCCCTGCCAAGAGGATTTGGGGGTGCTGGTGGCTGAGAGCCTGTGAACATTGCACCACTTGCCAGGTTCAGTTCCAGCTTCACCTCGGCCTTCCTCATCCCCTCCCTACACAAACGTAATTCATCTCTATACTTTTCCCAGGTTACATGTATTTGTTCCCACTGCCTGCGCACTTGCTTCTTGCCTTTTAGTTTGACCAGCAGTTCTTGACTCAGCCATGCAAGTCTCTTGCCCTCCTTGCCCAGTTTCTGGCTCCTGGGGACCACTGACTCTAGCACTCAGTAGAAGACTTTCCTAAAGATCTGCCAACTCTGTTCCATTCCCTTGTCCCTGAGAGCAGTCTCTCAGGGGATCCCACTGACATCCTCTCTGAAGAGCTGGAAGTCTGCCTTCCTAAAGTTCAGGAGCCTGCCTCTATTCCTTACCTGACCTATATTCCTTAAGATGGTAAACTCCACCAAACTCCACCACAACTGCTTTAGATCCCATGAGCTCCTAGGCAACTGTGACTGAATCCACTTCAAAGGCAGAGGAACCACCTGTTACAGCCTGAAGCACAAAGAACCTATCAGACACTCTGGATCAAAACTTGTTCTGAATTAAGCAGGTAAAGAGAGTCTCAATTTAAAACTATCTCTAATTGTACTGGATAAACACTACTTGTATGCATTTCATAATGTGTTAAATCTGCCAAAAATCCCAGAAGGTTCAACCATTGATGATTAAACACAAAAGGAAATATGCTGACTTTCAATAATATATAGATTAAAAAATCAAGAATTATCATAAATCAGCCAGAACAAATCCACAGTGCAGGAAATACCTGCTTGGTTGCCTGTTGCCTTCTTGGCAGAAGGCTGTAATTTTTAAACCAAGAGAATAATCTCAATATGAAATGGCATGGTGGAAATTACACTCCAATCTGTTTCAGCTGCAACATATTTTTTGCCCTCAGATGCAACTCTTAGTTCACGATGGAGTTTTTTGTGTAGTATTTTCACCAAGTAAGATCCTACAACTTTCAGAGGGCACATATTTGTTTGATTTGGTATTTTCAATCACTAATTCTCTGTTCTGAAGTGTATGTTCACATCCTTCTTCCTCAGGTTCCTCCTGCTTTCTTCCCCACTGCTTCTCTCCTGTTTTCTTCCTGCTCTGCACCACCTCCTTAGACAGGGTGGTACACAGACCGCAGTACTTATTGCCAGGTTCAGCACTTGAAGATGCAAGTGGCTGCTCAGTTAGAACTTTTGGAGCCTTTGAAAGGGGAGCTTGTGTATTCTGAATACAAAAGCCTAAATATGTCTATGAAGATCACTTTGTCTCAATAGCGGATCTGGAAAGCACAAAAGTATACACACAAGTTTGTTAAATCAAGTTGCTGCATTACTTCCTAAAGCTGAGAAAGAGGTTTCTTCCTAATTTCCTAACCTCCATTAGAAGCAAATGACAATGTGATCAAATGCTAAAACAGCTCCAAGAATTTTGAACATCTTAGTGGAATGCAGGAGATTCTGGGCTCATTACTCCCCCAAATTCCTCTAAATGACAAAGTCAGGTGCAGGAAAATAGCCTATCTGTTCATATTCCACAGTTCAAGCATTTAGCTTATTAGGTTTACAGCTCTCTGCATTGTTTTAATCCAGTCCTGCTCCTTGGGAACCAAAGTATAAAAGAGTCAAGGGAATGGTAAACAAATACTGCATCTCCTAACACCCTTGTCTGCCACGGGGGTTATTAGCTACTCAAAGTTATCACCTTGTTTGTTGACCTAGTACATTCCTTGCCACCAACCTGACCACAACCTTTACTTAAGAATATTCAGAATATTCCAAAACATCAGCTCTTCACAAGGTCATTTGTATCTTGAGCACAAATGGCAAAAAGAATATGAAAACAAGAGCTAGGGAGAAATAAATAACTCTTTTTTAAAATATTCCTTCTCTGATCAATTGAATAACTAACCAGATACTGGATGTGAAGAAATATCACAGCAGGTCACGCCAAGATCATGTGCTTTTTCATTATACAGGCATCTCATTTTATCATCCCAAATGGTTAAATCACCACTTGATGATCCAGTGACAAAGAAGTTTCCATTGGGAGAAAACGCACAAGCCATCAAAGAACCACCTTTAACTTTCCCAGATCTGAAAAGCAAGAGTACACAGGATTTGAATTTCGAGTAGGTAAAGTCCTACAAAGTCACCTCTCAAATGTAGTCTGATGCCATAAGCCAAACTCTTCTAAGGTTTGCACTTTGGAACTAGCTAACAGAGGAAAGAGAAACTCAAACCAGCTACGAAAAGAGAGCAAAATAAGCTTTGCAGCAGGGATCAGAGCAGCTCTTTGACAGCAGGAGGAAAAACATGAGATGGAGGCCCAAGGCAATAATTTTAACTGAGTGATAAAATAATTTTCAAACTAAAGACAATTTGCATGGATTTAACACTTAAAAGGCAGAGTGCACTGTTAAAAGTCTATGGCAGGATAATTTTACAAGTCAAAGATAAATATACAACTATAATTAACACCGATTTACATGTACACAAACAAGGGGAAAAAAGACAGACAATTCTTCTGGTTTTAGAGAAAAAAGAGAACACCTACTAGCCCATATGATAAGCCGTAGCTGAGTAGAATACTTTGTGATTATTGATGTAGGACTAATTTTGCACCACTTTTACACAAGAGAAAGCAATGTGGAAAAAAAATTCTGTATTTTAATTAAGTCAGCCGAAGCACTTTGGAAAACTGATCTTCTGTTGCTCTAGGACACAAAATAAAACGACACACACACTGGAGCCTCCAAGGTAAAAAAAAGGGAAGTTTAACTTCTGACTTCAACATTTATAGATTGTCAAAAGTGACAGTGGATTGGAGGATGACAGTGCCACCTCTCCAACGACACTAGACAAACTAACAGTGCATCAAATTTCTCCTCCTCCAGAAAAGAATGTAAAAACAGTAATTATTTACATAAAGTGCGTGAGAAAGTTTGTTACAAAAATGTAAACATCAGAAGGCTTAGAAGAACTTAGAAGAACAGGGTGACAATCTTCAAAGAAAATTTCTAGCAGATACGGAAATGTGGTCAACCCTCAGGAAGGAAGTGGGGTCAACCTGACATCCTTTATATTATCTGATAACCTAAAATTAACCAAAAGAGTCTCACTCCTTTTAATGGACATCAGATCCAACCAAGCTGAGTCTTTAAGTGCAGGGAGAAAATCACAGCCATGACAAAGTCACATGACAAGAAATGTCAGTCCTACTTTGTCACTGTACTTTGTAGAACAGCTGCTAATGCTTTTTTACTGACAGAAATTTTATTTACTGCCAGAGGTGTCAAACTTAATGTCACAGAAGACAAGTCAATTAAATTTTCCTCAGTGCCACACTAATCAGACCCATGACCTTCTAAAAAGCATTGTCTCCCTTAATTCTTTTATTAAGAATACTATCAAATTCACTACAGTGCTTCCCATTTTTATATGTACAATCTTTTTTCTTTAGTGTAGCTTTTCCAAATTTCCTTCTTTCACACAAAAAGTTGCAGATTCTGTTCTGAAAGCAACAGTAAAATAAATAGCATTGTGCATACATTTAAAATTTGCAGGCCAAATGCCAGTTTTGTAACTTACTACTGAAAAGGAAACAGAGACCAGTAAAAAATACGAGTCAACTTGCTTTCCTGTTGTTCACATCCACCGTAGAACTTATTTAAATAATCACCCTACTTCACAATCTGAACTGCTCAATTACAACAGCTGAGTAGATAAGGAGTAAATTTTATGTAATTTTATTATAATTACCATCCATATATTTAGTCAAGTGACAAAACAGTGTAGTAATATGTTTTCTCATTTTCAGCATCAACACAATCAACTGTTTCAAAAGAAACAGAGGACCACAGAATGACATTAGACGGTTAACTAACTTCCTCTGACATAATTTTTAAGTATTTTGATGATTTCTATGTTATACTGATTTCAACTATTAAAAATAGGACATTTTTCTACCGGCAATTACAAATCACAATAAAAATATTCATCAGCTGAAAATACATACACACATGCACATCCCAAAATAGATATAAAGTTAAGTTGACTACTGCTGGCCTGTCAACACTCTGAAATGAACTTTTAATAGTTGAAGGGGACGGGATTGTAATGTTCAAGTTTTTTCTTATTTCTCTACAATGAAAATGCCAAAGCAGGATAATTTTTGCTTCTAATAACAATATAGTTTCTAAGTAGTCATTATACATCCACCACTCAACTAGAAGAAAATTAGGATGTAGGTCTAAACCATGCATCACTGCATGTATTAAGGCCATACAATGGTAAGAAATGTTCTTTTCATATTTCTGGGTTTTTCCCTTCAGCAACAAGCATTCTGAATTTAAAAAAAAAATTATCTCTTCACTACTAATGCCTCAAAACAAATAAACCCTGAGATTTCAGAATACTAATGACTGAATTTCCCAATTTTTCTGAAAGATAAAACTAGGAAAAAATAGGTTATCAGTACCTCTTTACTATCAGAACCATTTCAGTGTTTCTTCATGTATTACAAAAAACATGGTGGCAAAAATCTTGGACAATTTATGGACAAACTTCCAGATTTGCACAATTTCAAGTAACTATAATCAATCATTTCGAAAAATGCACAGTTCCCACATAAATCACCACTATGGAAGGCAAAGAGGCCACAAAATGAGGGACATGCTTGACAGGGGACTACCAACATCAAACAATTCTGTCTTTCAGAAACAGCTGCTCCCTCAATCCTGAGTAAAACATCAATTTGCTCAAATTCTTAACTACTTTTCTAACTTTAGAGAGTTATTTAGTTGTGTAATAAGCCCTAAAACCTAAATAATGTCTTGCCCAAATACAGAATACAACAACTGGCCTAAAGAATTCACTGAAAGACAGAGATGTTCATGCCTTTAACTGTGCAACACCAATAAATATGCTCATCTGTTTTGTTTCAAATGTTTCCAAGAAACCTATGTGAAATGTTGACTGTCATGCTTAACTTATTTGGCACCAATACTTCTTTCACTAACACTTCCTAAAATGTACAGTTTCAGGACAGGTCCATAGTTTCCAAACTCTGGTTGCTGCAAGCTTCTAAGACCTTCCTGGACTCCAAACTCCTAGTAATAAAGCATTCAGTTTATACTACTATGTGTAATGCAATATAAAGCACACAGTACAGTCAGGATCCACTGTGTATTATGTACCACAGTTTGCTGACCCACTGTTCAGAAATCAGATGCATACAGTGTGCAATGCATCCTGATCTCATGTTAAATCAATGAAATGAACTTTTAAAAATCAGGATTTAGCTGTATAATAACTTTGTAAAAATTAAAGCTTCTTGAGTTCGCATTGTTTAACTTAAAAAACCAAAAAGTTCCTCAGCACTTTTCTCTCTCCTATTGATAATCTTTTGGTCATCTAAATCCTATCCCCGTTTCTTTGTGATATCCATCAGTGGTGTAAAGTCTGCGTATCTTGTATACAGTACAGCATACTGACTGAACTATATTCACCTCAAAACAAAACATTTGTCAAAAAATATTTGTCACTCACCGGTACAGTTTCATGGACTGCACGTTCCAAAGCACCACGCTGCCATCGGCTGCCCCTGCCAGCAGGTGGGCGGCCCCGGGAGAGAAGCGGCAGACCCTGACGGGGCTGGCGCCGGGCTGCTCCAGCACGGCCAGCCTGCGGCCGTCGCGCGCGTCCCAGAGCGCCGAGGTGCCGTCCGTGGAGCACGAGGCCAGCACGAGGCCCGACGGCGAGAAGCAGCAGCAGTGCACGGCGTACGTGTGGCCTTCCAAAGGCGAGTACGGCAGCTCGGCGAAGTCGCTCAAAGAATAAACACGAATTGTTTTGTCCAAGGAACAAGTAGCCAAGCACGATGATGAGAAGGCACAGTAATTGACGTCATCACTATGATCTGCTAAAGTGTGAATTAATGTTGCCATTTGAAAAAATAAAAATCTGAAAAAGAGGTTACCAGACTTAATTTTCCCGTTTCGTAAATGAAACATACTACCTTAGCACGATAAATTTTGAAGGAAAAAAAAAAGAAAGAAAAACTCATTTGCAAAGTACGATTTTCACCTAGCATTGTTTAAGCAGAGAATCATAAAATCACAGACTAGTTTGGATTGAAAAGGGTCTTAAAGCCCATGCAGTTTCACCCTCTGCCATAGGCAGGGACACCTTCCACTGCCCCAGGTTGCTCCAAGCCACATCCAGCCTGGCCTTGAATGCTTCCAGGGATGGGGCAGCCACAGCTTCTCTTGACACCCTGTGCCAGGGCTTCACTACCCTCACAGCCCAGAATTTCTTCCTAATCCCTAACCTAAACCTACTCTCAGTTTAAATCCATCCCCCTTTCTACCACTACATGGCCTTGTAAAAAGACCTTTTCCAGCCTTTTTGTGGCTGGAGCACTTTCCAGTGAAGACCAAGACAAAATAGTCATTGAGTACCTCAGCCTTCTCCACGACTTGGGTAACCAGGTCTCCTGTTTCCTTTCAGAGGGGGCCCACATTTCTCCTAATCTTCCTTTTATCACCAACATACCTATTAAAGCTTTTCTTGTTGCCCCTGACATCCCTGGCTGGATTTAATTTCATCAGGACTTTAGCCTTCCCAACCTAATCCCTGACTGCTCGAAAGATCTCTCTGTAGTCCTCCCAGTCTACCTGTCCTTGCCTGCATTTTTCCTTTTTGTTTGAATTCATCCAAGAGCTCCCTTCTGCTTATTTTCACAGATAGCAACAGTAGTGAAGGCAAAACATCGGTGCACTTGTGTTGCCAATTCAAAGTTTGACCAGACTGACTAAAACATTTAAGTCAAAATGTGAGTATTAATTGGGTGATCAGCATTGGAACCTCTCCAGAAATTGCATTTGCTGCTACACAGAACAACAAAAGGCAATGTGAACTTCACATGCATTTCCCCAGGATGCAAAACTGCTAGAACCAGTTTAAATTGTATCAGATGAGTGATTCATACTGCTGAGGTCCAGGAAATCCCCAGAGGTACATTTCAACCAGTTACTCCCCATGCTGCAGATCACAGACAAGTTTCCTGAGAATAAATGCAGAGCCAAAATGAAGTGCCTACAGCTCTTATAAGCTGTTTATAATGAAAAAAACCAGTAATACTATTTATATTGAGTTAACTTATATAATAGTCTGCTGTTTTAGATAAGTGCTTCATTCTGAATAATAATTTCAGTGCTGAGGCATTTGGCGAACAAAACCATATATACTCACACATTTCTTTTTTTTACATAGAAACATACACACAAATATATTTATATGTATGTAGACATGTAAGTATGTATAAATGTATACACACATATGCAGAGGCATGTACATATACACACAGACACAAAGGTGCATGTGTAAGGGCAAAATACTTGTTCTCTTCAGACAGTGTATGGCACACCAATTTAGTTAAAAACAAGATCATTGAATACTACCCACTTTAACTTCAGGATGCTCAGTTTTACTACCACTCTCTTTAAAACCATTAAACAAATGAAGTAGTATCAATAACATATCTTAGCTGCAGAAAGAAAATAAACATACTTTTTTCAACTACGAGAAACTGAAGAGTCAGAGAAAGCTTAACATCTGGAAAGATGAGCTGAAAAAGGCACCTTGATCTCACTGTCAGGAGACTTCCAGGAGTCACTGCAGAAAAGCAAACCTAAGAACAAGAGGTTTCAGTATCAATAAATCGACTGAGGGAGCTAGGAGCAGCGGGAGCATTCGTCACCAGAGAGATGTTCAGCACACAGCATCATCTCTCTGGCAATTACATATTTTTTCTCATAATCCACAAACCAGCAGCACCGGCCCACAGAAAGAGCTACAGCAATTCCCGACAGGGCTGGCAGCCCTTTCCCTATTGCTCTCTCCCGCAGCCCAGCCCCGCCCAACCCATCGCGCCGGCAGCGCGGCGGGGACGCGCTCGGAAGGTCGGCAGTCACCCCGAGCTCCAGTGGTACGTGTCGGCTAAACCAGACCCTGCCCCGGCTGCGCGGGGCCCGCGGCCACCAGGCACGGCCCCCGGCCGGCCATGAGGGGATCCCGCCCGCACCTCCCGCGCTCCGACCGCCGCGCCTCCTGCCTCGGCCACCCCCGCACGGCCCAGGCAGCTGCGCACGCGCGGTGCCCCCCCCGGCCCCCCGGCGTGGTGAAGTCCGGGCCGACCCGCCCCGCTGCGGGCCGTGCCACTGCGCGCCGGCTGCTGGGGGAGTCGCACTGCGTTTCCCGCTCTCACCGCTGCCACTGGTCCCGGCCCCGAGGCAGCGCGGGCGCGGATCGTGCGACCTTCAGCCCTCCGCGGCCTCAGCGCCGGCCCGGAGCCGCACCGCCGCCGCCGGCGCTATGGCTGCCTTGGCACGAACCCTGCGTGGGCGCAGGCGGTGCCCCGGCCCCCCGGCGTGGTGAAGTCCGGGCCGACCCGCCCCGCTGCGGGCCGTGCCACTGCGCGCCGGCTGCTGGGGGAGTCGCACTGCGTTTCCCGCTCTCACCGCTGCCACTGGTCCCGGTCCCGAGGCAGCGCGGGCGCGGTCGTGCGACCTTCCGCCCTCCGCGCCCTCAGCGCCGGCCCGGAGCCGCACCGCCGCCGCCGGCGCTATGGCTGCCTTGGCACGAACCCTGCGCAGGTTCCAGCGCCTGTGGGATGTCGGCGGGGCCGGATGCTATCCCGGCCCCTGCCGCGCCCGCACACCAGAGCACTGCCGGCCCCAGCCGTGTCCGAGCGGGCAGCGGGGCACGCTGTGCTGCTGAGATCGACACGGTGACCGCCTCAGCCCGGCCTCCGCCCGCCACAGGCGCGGCCCTCGAGCAGAGCGAAGGGAGTTCCAACAGAGTGCTCCCCCAGGCCCAGCAGCCCTCAGGTAACTTACACCTTCGCCCTCTCCCCCCCTTCACACACACGTTCAGCAGCTCTCACATAATAAATGGTTTAGTCGGCACCTAGACATTTTGAGGAGGACAAAGTCACTTCCTCAGAGTCACTATGCCTATGAAGCAGTCCCTAAATGGTCGGCCTTCCGTGTTTAGTCTGTACCATCTCACGCTCTGCTTTATAGCACTTTATTTGATTGCACAGTGTGTGATCCACGGCTGAAGCCTGGCCTTTCATTGTTCTGAATCCTAGGTGACAGCCACTATTAAAAAGAAGGCTTTAGACCTCCTTTTAAAGATACATGTTTGATTTTCAGTTGCTTTTTTATCATCCCATTTTTTCCAAACAGATAAAAGAGAACTCACACTCCACCATAACACTCTTCATTGAGTGCCATTACGGTATTTATAAAATAGTAAATTTGAAAGTTTCAGAATAAATTCTGTAAACTAAGACTGGCACACTTTGTTCAGAAAGGTTGAGAGCACACTGGTAAATTTTTCCTCTTAAGAAAACATACAAACATCAGCGGGAGAGAAAATTAGCAATGAGGAAATGTTACAAACATTTTTCTTGTGGTTAAATCCCTGCTCTTTTCTATGGATGTATGAGGGCACATGCATGACTCAAGCTTGCCATTCAAATACAGTATTTCCTGTACATTTAATTTTACTGCAAGAGTAATGAAGACAATGGCTGTTAGCAAGGAAAGCGATACACTGGCCATGTCAAGTTAGAGGTGATGCTTGTCTCACCGTCATCACTATAGTAGTAGATGTTGCCACCTTCCCAGCTGTTCAGCTGAATTGGGATACAAATTGAAAAAAAATGCAACTTGTATTATACATAATGTATGTAGTTTAGCTGGTTACTTGTCTGATATTTCAGAAAACTAACAGTTCTAGTACTGCAGACAAAAGCATTAACCAGCACAGAATCTGAAAAAAAATAAAAATTGAAGAACTACATTTCTCTATTACCTAAGCGTATTTATAACACCTTACAAGCTTACCATCATAAATTCAAAACATTGATTAATCTTCACATCTCTGGTACATGTCAGCAAACCTCTTTACTGAAGTCTTCAGAAAGGTCATGAAAAGGAAAGGCATGGAGCAGTCAGTGTGGGAGTTCACATTAGCATGCAAGACTGACACCCAAATGTGATTTTTTTTTATTCAAAGTAATAAAGATTATTCTAACAGAACTTGGAATAAAAGAAAATATTACTGAACAAGATATTCTGGGGAGAGCAATGGAAACATTAATTAAAAAATAGGCACTAAGACTCAAAACACGGCAGACCTAGTTTAAAAGCGAAAACCAACACCCCAACATTATTTTTAGAGAACTACAGGTATTGTGGTTCCACAATATCTGTTTGTCATTTCTGTATTTTCTTCAGTCAGAGCAAGGACTATGATTAATGCCCTTCTACTGGCCAAAAAAGGGACAGAACCTTACATGGACAGCGGTTTTCAGAAACATGACCAAACATGTGCATTTCCATGTCCATAAGGACAGTGATCAACCTGGCAGACCTCTGTTATTTACAGGCAGGGAGCTTCTCTCTGACTGCTTGGCAATTGCTTCCTTATGAACTACCATTAAAAGCCCAAGAGAATTAGATGCATCATAAAAAGAACTCAATGTTAAATGCCAGATTCCCAAGACAATATCTAAAAAATACCCCAAACCAAAAAACCTGTATACATATAACCTGAAGTATTAAAATTGTCAAGAAGATCTGGTTTGCAAAACAGTCTTTTATTGTATCCGTGCCACACATACTAGTGAAAAATAACACTCCTAAAAAGGGAAAAGAAAAAGAATGCTACCTTTCCACAACATTTCTTTTAAATAAAACTTCAAGTACTCTTACATTAGTACAAAAAAAAAAAAAAAATCCGATCTATCTGCCCCAACAAGCCACCACAACGCACAGTAGATAAAACACAGTGGTTACAAATGTCTTCTTTTGTTATTCTGTGGCAAGGCAAATGGAGGAAATGTTTCTATGAAAAAATACTGTGTGCGTAGGAAATTGTCACAATTTTCTTCCACATGGATACAAATGATTATACTTGGATTTGAGGCCGTGGGGGCTTGAAATTATATAACAAAATAGAAAAATGGAAAACTAATATCCCCTACACCCTGTTTTAAAGGCAGGCACTACCAAGATTAAGGAGACTCCACAGTGTTGGTAGAGGATAATTACTGTACAAGCCATAGAGCTATAATTACCTTAAGACTAAAATAAAATGCTACCATCCTCCTAAGGCATAAACAATAATGTCTGCAAACAATATGTACACATCATACATATTTAAAACAAGACTTAATATAAACAATAATGAACAGTATATACATGTCTCAATTTTTCTTCACTGTCTTGAAATACAATTTAACTACACAAGTGATGCAGCAACATATATATAAATGTACTTGTAACTCTACAGTAAAGTTTAATTTTTAGTGCCTTTACAGCACATCAGTGTAAACAGTTTTACTTGGCTTTGTTTTATATTTTAAAACATTCCTTGTTGTATTTTCAACATTTAAAGCAATTTTCTAGTTCTTCCTTTTCACAGAAAACGAAGATTCTGAATGCTGTATAATCATAAATAATTCATAAAATTAAATACATTCACTAAAAAATAAACTACAAAGTAAAAAAAATGAAAAATAGATATTTATTGAAAGGGAAAAGAGAACCATTTCCCCAAGTAGAGCTCTGGTGGTTGAATATTCAGTGCGTTTTGAAAATTGCTATTGCACTATAACACCCCTTTCTTTGAAATTCTTTGGGTGTGCTTCCCTGTTCTACCTAAATTAGTTTGTTAAAACACACAAACCAATAACCAAGGGGCCATGGTTGCTGTAGGAGTGAAGCCTTTAAAACTAGTATCACAACTCCGTGGTTTGAAGGAAAAAATTGGTTACGTATGTGCCTTGCACTTCCATGTAAATATAGTTCACATTGCTGGTCTTATCAGTCCTCAATTAATGGAAGGAAGAAAAAGAAAAAAAAAAAGAAAAAAAGAGTCCTAGTAGCTTCAGCTCACTTTGAAAATCTCTGTCCATTTTTTTTCAAAATACTTCCTCATGTTGTGGCCAGCCCTGCCTATGTCAGAATCATCTTCATTGAAAGTTTCACAGTTGTCAAAAACAAGCCTCACATCCAGCGAAAATGCTTCAAGATTAGGGTACCTAAAAGAAGATAAAAGTGAATGATTTTTGGAACATAGAGAATCACAGAGGAAAAATATTTCAACTACATGAGAAAATATTTAAGTAAGAATTTAAATTAGAATTTCTAAAAAGAAAATGAACACCAGTGGAAGGAAATACTCTCTTGTCACTGTTTTGTTATTTTCCTCACAAGTTTTGTAAGGTAGAATTTCATGCCTGTACTCGAAAACAAACTTTTAAAAAACTAGTTCCTCCCTCTCTTCAACAGCTTTTTAGCTAAAATGCTATGGCTGTTTTCCATTTATGCATCTATTCTTGTGTTCAGGGTCCTTTCAAAATGTTGAATAGAGCTGAATTTATCTAAATGAGGAACACATGGGTACAAGAAAAGGCTGCCCAAATAATCTTATGACACTGTCTTTGCTAATTATTTTTATTATCCTGAATGGCCCAAAGAATGTTCCAATATTCATAGGAATTATTAAAAATAAAAATAGAAGTTGCAAGTCTAGTGATAAGAGCACAAGGGGAGCTTTTAAATCTCATATTCATGGAAGAACAAGTCTGAAGAGGTTAAAAAGCTCCTTGTGCCATCCTAGGGAAGTTGCTCTGTGTGGAGCTGGCAGACACTGCAGAGGGTCCATCTTCACAGATTCATGAGAGCATAGGGATATTAACAAGGAGGGAAGGTAGACAGAGGCATGTCGTGTGGTCTTCTCTTTTAAGAATCCACACAGTCTAATTGTAGGACTATAAAATGATTAACCACCATTACAGGAGTGTTACCTACAACAGAGCTGGCATGTCACTCCACAGCCACATCAGGGACTCCAGAAGCTTAAAGCCTACACAGCTGGTTCTCTGTGACATGCAGTACACTAAGGGGTCTCCATGAAAAAAGGTTCCTTTTGATTGTTTTGGTGCATTTGACCTGGCAAAATGTTTTTCAGCCAGTTCCACACATTCTCCCATCCAACATGCCATTTCACTTGGATATGGCAAAGATAAAAGCATACAATTAAGAATTTTTATTTTGACTGTAACAGCAATCACAGATGTGTCAGAGCAGAACAGTATAGTTTGGCTAATTTTAAACATGTATTGTATTTCAGTGTTTAAATATTTTTAATATGTAAAGTACAATTTACAATAGGTTTACTTACTGTCCACTACTTAGCTTGTCTCTAATGGTAGAAAAGTCCATCGGTTTTTTAATAACTTTCTTATAACCAGGAACAAGTTTCAAGTTTACAGGAAGTAAGAAAGGCCAGGCATCTTCATGAGTTTCCAATTCTGAGAGAATCATACTAAATAAAACAAGGTTTCAAATCAGTATTTTTAAATTTTATTTATACATTCACAGTGTTTTCACCATTACATGAATTCCCTATGAACTGCCAAACTATTCACTTTACAAAAGGATAACACTCTATATCTGCACCCTGTTCAAGGCTGAGAACAATATACATATAGAGACAAGTAAGTAACTAATATAGCATTAAATTCTCTCCAGGTGACCTATGGGAGATGAAATTCTAATGATCAACATTCCAAAAGAAACAAACCAGCTGCTAATACTGACTTTCCAAGAGTGTGACAAGGCTAAACGATGTCCCTTTTGACTGAGCAGCAATGCTACCACAGCAGATGGTTCATGTGTGAAAGGTGTCAGTGCCACTGCTACTGGGGCTGGGCTTCACTCCTCTCCCAGAAGACACACGTGTGTGTAGGCATACATACGTACACACACACACAATGTGTCTAGGTATGTACATTTGACAAAGAATAGCATTCCTGTTTCCCAGAACAGAGAGAAAAAGGATC